GACAAAGAATTTATAAGAAATGTTCACTTCATTCTTAATGGGAAAACTATTGTGTATGTATATGAGGTCCAAAATACCTAACATGCAATGAGTCAAACTGTCAGTCAATTCTCCCTTATAACAGTGAAGAAAGATTTCCTGAGCAGTATGTGGATATGAGTTTCTTGATTTCTAAGAGGACCTACCAGCCTGACCCCAGGACATTAGTACAGGTACAGCAAGGCCCCTTAAGTGCCACCTCAGATATTGAAGAATTCTGACCTTAGTGCTTAAATAAGTATAGTTTCAGTAGAAATACCTCATTTAGTGTTAATCTTAGAAGGTGCAATGCACAGCCATTCACTGAGGCATGCTGGTTTTAAATAAGCTGGAACTGGGAAGCAGGAGAGGACCACTCAGCTGGCTGGTTGATGAGCTGCAAAGCCCCAGGTCAGGTGAGAAATAGCTTGCCATATCATTTTCCTTAGTTATTCCTTTCACATATTTTAATGGATGTAATTTTTACTCCAGAATATTCACACCTCACACATCACTTCCATTGTATACAAGGGTTATAAAACATTTTTTTTAATGCAAGTGAACTGCATTCATTTGTCTTGTAAGTCAACTAGAGGCACTTGCAAAGGAAATTCTAAGCTCCTACATTACCAGAGCATTTTTTCTGCCATGTGGATGGAGAGAAAAGAATTATTCACTCTGAAAAATATAAATAACTTCACCACTTCCTTTTATAGCTGGTTGATTACAGCAGCCAGTGAATGAAGGATTTAGATGCTTATTTGTCAGCTTTACACCAAAAACAGCAGCAAAAAAGATGAAATGTCCAGAACTGAGGGGGGATTTGTGAGGCACTAAATACTTCTGTGAATCAGGACTGATATATATGTGTGTAGTAGTTAGCTATAGGGCAAGATAGACAAATACATGCATACATATTCATGACAGACAGTCAAACTGGAGCTGGACCACAAAGCATCAAATTTCAGTTCTGGTTTATTATTTACACTAGGTCCAGCGAAGACTCCGGCCCAGCTCACCCAGCATCTTGCTGTACAATGTAGAGCAGTAATTTCATTTTTCAGAAGGAATTGCTACAGATCATAAAAGCCCACCAGGACAAGACAAATACCATGTTTAGGGTCTCCCAAGTATGCAGCTGTGACACAGACCTCCATTGCATTACCAAGTTCCTAGCTAAAGAGCAAGGGGTTTTTTTGGAGTTTATTCCAAAGAATGGCTGTGAAAGACCAGATTGCTTTTCTTGGTTGTTATTTTACCCTGACTGATTTCCTTATCAAGGTAGAAAGCTCTTGGTAATGACTACTGCCACGTGTGAGTTCAATGCTCACAAGGCAATGATTTACTGACTAGCCTAATCTAGGGCTTTCAGTAATAATCCCACTGTTTATGATGGGATCCATTGCCATCTTAAAAAGACTTGTGACAGCTGTCATGACCCAAGGTGATGCCTTAGGAGGAGGTGTGAACTGCCTGCCAGGTACCCAGCCTGCCCCATCGAGAGCTGGGATGCTCTGGGCAGTATGGCAGGACCAGGCAGAGGGGTTGGACGTGGCAGGCAGGGTTGGGACAGCTGATGCCAGCCCCTTCCACAGGACATGGTGGGAAGGACAGTGCACCTGGGACCCAGAAGGATTTGCATGGAGCTAGCTGGAATCTCCAGGAAGACATTAGGCAAAGGATAACACAAGGGCAAAGTCTGTCCTGCTGAGGAGAGACTCAGGGTATCACTTAATAGATCACTATCAGACTTAGGTATTTTGGACTCAGGGTATAAGACTGGGGATAAATTGGTTTCTGAACCCTTTTATTCAATAATCAGATCAAAGTTTATCCTTTTCAAAAGTTCTTTTACACTGTATGTTCTAGACACCCAGTGCTGAGCCAGTTTCATAATTCAAAGCCCCTTTGATGTCCTTAGTGTATTCAGTTTACAGGAAAGTCCCAGCACGTCCACCTCAGAGCCCTGCCTGACTCCAGGTCCCACCAGAGACAAAATACTAAATAGCTAAAACAGAACCAAAGTCTCAGTGTAAGCCTCCTTTGAAATCAAGGGAGCTTACCCAGTTTACGTTTGGTAAGATGCAGCCCATAAAGCTCAAACTGATTACAGATATTAAGAGTGAGGCGTTTAATGCTTCTGCCAGAAGATAAGCTGAGATGTATTTTAGGGAAAGAGTAAACTGAAGTGCTGTGGATTCTATTGCTTTCCACAGGGTATCTCTTGTTATTACTTTAATAACCAAAGAGGAAATCTTGTTAATCATAAGTTGCAGATATGTATGAGTTGACATCTGTGAAATCACAGCTGCTGATAGCTCTGCACAGGCATGATGAGATAGTAGGTAATGCATTACTTTCAATAGAGAATTGAACTGGTTGCCTAATATTCATTCCACCCCTTGCCCCCCAGAATGTCACACACCTTTCTTCTCCTAGCTATTGTAACAAATGTATTGTTCCTACAATCAGATGTTAACACACAATTAAGGACATGCAAATGTGAAGCATTGACCACCACTGCTTAAGTTAGCGAAGGGTTAAACTGAAAGAAAACGAACCAAACAAGAAGGCAGACCAGGAAGAAAGTAAAACAAATAACTGAGTTAGATCCATCTCTGTTAGTGTGAACTTGGATAGCCTGATTTTTGCCATTTTAAAGAAAACCCAAACCAGTCCCAGCAGCCTGAGCTTGCCTGCAACATCAGTTGTTTAAAGAACACAGTTCATGTGCCAATGAAAATGCCAGTACAGCAAAATGAGTCTGGTTTTCAGACTCCTTTGTGGAATGAACTTCCTAAAATGGTGGCTATTAGGAGGCTTTTACATCCAAGTGCATATCCATTACCACACATGAAAGAAAAAGTCACCCTGCAAACTGACTGAAGCCTGGCAAATATTTTAAACCCTTTATGATTTTAAATGACATGCAGTGGTCTTCTGTTTTCACATCGCTTATTGCTTCTGACACACACAATTTGTTAGTATGCTTTGGGTCACAAGTCAACAGAGCAACACTGAATTATAGCAGCCAGGAGGGTTCGCCTCCTTCTCTCTTACCTGTCCTCTAAAGCCTTTAAACAGTGTATAGCTCCTATGGGTGTTATAGAAATTGAGGTGACTGCTGCTGCACGAAGATGCTGGCTAATGGACACGGGCATGGCTCTGTCCTTCTTCCTCCAAGCCCTGAAGGAAGCTGATGAAAAGTCCCATGGAAAATTAAAGGTCTTTTTTCAGCACAGAGAAATTCCTGGGTGGAAAGAAAAAAAACCAAAATACTTGTGACACACCAAATTGTGACCACTGTGGCCAATGTGTGAACTTTCCTGGGGGAAGGAAGAGAAAACAAACCACAAAAACATAGCCCCAAAAGGCAGAGAAAGCTAATGAAACATCTGATTTTGGGGTACACCGTGGGGTCAGCAAATCACCCAAGGAGGGCTGGAAAACCCCACTGCACTACACAGCAGCCAGTTTGGTGAGATGCCTCATTAGGAAGGTCCCATGAGATGACTATGAGCTGCCCAGCTCAACGCAGAATCTCCAAAGAGGAAAAGGTTTCATTTTAATTATCTCGGATCCAACCTCACAGAAGTTATTGCAGTCCCAAACTTTATGTAATACTTCAATATTAACAGTGAAATAAGAAGAGACTTGACCTGGAAAAAGTTCCAGCTCTGTCAAAATTCAACTTTTTTTTCCTCTTCATTTTTAGCAAAGGTAGTGGTGACTGGATATTATAGGTACAGCTCTGCCCAGAAGCACCAGCTATTAGTCACCTCAGCATGATTAGTCATTTAAGATACTGTTTTTTTAAAGACCTCATATAGCTCCAGCTGGTTGTTCCACCAAAGTCTTAAAGGGGGCCTTGGTGCAAGAGAATGGGCTCCAGCACTGCAGGGGACACAGGACAGAAGGCACGGTGGAATAACAGAGTTGGTAGCTAAACAACCATTTTGGCTGCACACCTCAGTTCTCCTTTCTGTAGTTGGGAAGAAAAGACACCAGCTCCTTTTGCTAAGTGTTTCAAGCCCTAGGTAGCTAAAGGCACAATGTAGATAATATTGTTTTCACTCCTGACCTGCTGCTGCTGCTGCAGACTTGTATCCCTGTGTCAAGCAGGGACCATGGAGCTCCAGAAGCATCACTGCAGGCCATAATGGTCTCTCATCTTCAGGTCTGCTTTGCAGAAGTGCTAGTTTCTGCATGGGGCAAAGAGCTGAGGAGCCCCACAGGGCTGGCAGTGGTAGCATCCATGAGCCACATGGATCCAGACCTTCCCTGGTACACTCTGCTCTGCAAGGAGGAAAAAAGCAAAGCGGGTTCAGAGATTTTCGCCTCCCCTTCCCCCTTAAATTGAGCTTGTACAATTAATTGAAAGAGAGAATGAATCTTTCGGGAAGGAAAGACATTAATGTTATCAATTATTTGAATAAGGTGGAAAGCAGTGACATCAGCAGCTAATGAACTAAATCTGAATTAAGCCACTGTCTGAATATTATTATTTCATTTTTACAAAATAGAGGCCATTCGGTGTTTGACAGTGAGACCAATCGAGTCTCCAGTTAATCTCTGAGAAGTGGCATACCTCCTCAGTTGTTCTGTATGCAGCCATTTCATCAGTGGTGTAGAAAACAGCATGTTGAATGAGCCGTTGCAGAAATCTCCTTGTCATGAAGAACTCACTAGGTCAGCAATTGTCAAATACTTGGATTTCAGCAATCAGCTTCCCTTGTACAACAGATTCAGTTGCAGTGCTTTGAGCAGACGTTTACAAATTACCGTATAATCTTGTAAACATGCTTCATCTACACCAGCCACCTTCTGACCAGTGAAGTGGAGACCAAGAAATACAACCCTTTCTGACCTCTATTAGATGCTATCAGCCATCCAGGTGTGATGCAATGAGTGAAGCAGATATTCATATTACTCTATGGTGATGAAAGGGAGTTCACATTCTGGAAGAGATGCTGAAAGCTTGACTGCACAAGCCTTCTCCCAGGCAGTCCTTCGCAGGAGTGGATGGTCTCTCTGTGTGTGGCATTGATCAGCTCAGTCTTACGCAGCACCTGACCTTACATAATCCAGCATGTGTCTGATGATATTTTTCAGTTCCCGCAGGTTCAAAACTGCCTCATCCCCATCCATCAAAAGTGTGTTTCTGTGCTAATCCCATTCTCCCAGCTGCCTGACCTAGGAAAGTGGAGAGGAAAAGGTGGGGAGGAAAAGGATAATTTCTTTAAAAAGCCAAAACCCTTAAGTTTCCATGTTCTGGAACACAGGATCAAGTTCATCAGTTTTTTCAGGCTATCACATCTACAACTTGTATTTCTCCTTGCAAAACATATTTAATTTTCTTAACTAAGTCACTTTTCAGGTGAGAGGAAAACCGACTGTTAGGTACAGCTTAAGAACAAGCCAAATACATGCCCACACACACATACTGTATTTAATTTCCCACTCTCTGCTCTGCCTCCTTTCCCACTACCAGCTGGGTCCTGATGTCTCTCGTGACCACCTTTCTCTCTCTTCCACTAGTTTTTTTCCACTGGAGTTCCTTTCCCTTCTGCCATCATCCTTCTCTCCCTCAGGATGTGAACTCAGTTACACCAGCATTGAACTTTCAAACCCATAATGTTCAAGTAGATTTAGAATTAATCAAAACAACGTCATCCATCAATGGCTTTCAACGTCAGGAGCTCTGAGGGCAGGGGTGGGGTGGAAGGCAGGGCCTTGATGCATAAGCAGGCAACGATGAAAATGTTGTCAAAGAGCAATTAAGCGTGCTCCTGTGACAGGTTGGCACTGCACTTTTCCTAAGGTGAGAGAAGTCATCAGACATTTACAGTTCACCCAGCATCAGCAAGTGCCTTTCACATCCAGCCCGCATCCCCTTAGCAATGAGAGATGACCCAAACCTGCCTTGTGCCAAGTGGTAATTTCATTTTAAATAACATTCATCACCTTTTATCATGATGTTTCAATTTGCCAAGTCAAATGTCGTATTCTCTACTGCTGGGCAGCCCTCTTTGCTGTGCCACAAGCATAAATTAAACAGACAGATGGAATTTGTTATTATATATTTGAGCCACAAATCATAAATAAACTTTTTCCTTCACTAATATTAGTCTAAAATTATTTGTTCTTACCTAAACATTCATGAGGAATATGATAATAACACTACCTTTAAGAGTTTGATCAGGGTCAAGCCCCATTCTAGGCAGAAGAATCTGTTCTTCCCCCATATTCAGGGCTATTAAAGTTATGTCCATGTACACAGGATACAGCACTTCAGTCTGGCAGGATTTGGCTGCTGCAATCCTACCTGGTATGAAAGTCAGGGGCTGAATCTCTTCTAAGAAGAGATGAATTGAAAGAAAGCAGCTGAAAAGGCTGCTTGGCAAATAGCATGTATTTCCACTAAGCCCTGAGCACACTGGGTAAGATTTCCATAAGGTATATGGCTGTAAGCCAGATATAAAATTGGAGGGAAAAAACAGCATAAAGAATTGAATATCTGAAGACTAACGACTGAGCTGATGCTCCCTGCATGGCTGAAGGGCTGAGTATGCTATTGACTGAGACAACAGAGTTTTTTTGGCAATATGGGCAATCAAAGGGATGTGAAGGAGCTGGATATCCAGCATTATTCTGCATCCCTTCCTTTCCAAATGAGGGGAGTGAAGCAGAAGTTTAATAATAAAGAAATGCTCGTGCCTTCAGTGCTGGGAAAAATCCTTTTGTGTAAAAAAAAAAAAAGGGATGTGGACAAAACACACTGAGCCAAGGACTAACATCCAGTTTCTTAATGCAGTGCCTACCTGTATCAGAACAGCTCCTGTTATTCCCCTGATTAGGCTACTCAGTCTATAGAGGAGAGACCGGCTGCAACCACACTACTCCTCACCAGCTTCTGAGTTTGCAGTCAGAGAGCAGGATAGCAGCTGATCTTTCATGTCAAATAATGCAAGACAGACTAAACAAAAGGCATTTTTCCTCCATTGGTGGAAGGGGGGTATCAAAGTCCAAGCTTGCTGAGCTTTGGTCCTTAGTCAGCCCAGGACACATCAACAGAGCACAGCTACACCCAATGCCCACAGGTTATCAAAGAACATTTCTTATCACTGCCTTTCCAGAGGAGGAGGCAAGGGAATAATTTTGGTCTCACTTTATAGTGGCATAAGAGTTACTTGACTTCAGAAACAACCATCTCTGGCAGAGCTAGGCCTGGAAACCACAGCTCCTGGGTCTTGCTTCAACAGCATAAACAAAGTGCTACCCTCAGGCTGAGCCCGAGCCCTCACCATCTGACAATGCAGCAAAGCTAGAGACAGGACATCACATGTCACCTCCCCTCCTAATCTCTGCAGCAATTCTGCAAGTGTCGATTAAGTCTGTGCCATTCACTTATATCTGATATGTCCTTCCAACAGCTTGCTATGGAAAATTTCAAACTGCTTTATTAAACCATCTTCTATACATTTACCTACCAGCAACCTAATAACGGTATTAAATTAAAAAGACATTACCTTTATCTGCAATTATCCCATTACAGAAGCAGGCGAGTGCTGCAGAGGCAGTAATCACATTTTTACAACATAACTACTTTGGATAAAAATTATAAGGAGGCAGGTTTCCTCTCCATGGAGACATGAAATAGATTCTTTAAAGGCTTTGGCCAGTTCATGACAGGAAGTCAAATGAAGATGTGAGAAGGCTGAATTCAGTGCTTCCAGGTGACTTGCATTTTCCCTGCAAGAAGTTTCTCTTTTCCCTTATCACTGCAGCCCTGTCACCTGTAGAAGATTATTCAATAGCTGTTTTGTATTATTGTCTCTCAGCCAAGATCCATCTTTCTTCAGAACAAGCAGACAACCCCAGAAAATGAAAGGTCACCTACTGGTCTCACCTCTTTGTGGAGGGCTTGTCCACCTCTTCTCTCCTCTCCAAATGGGAGCAATAAAAGAGCAGCTTTCATCCTGTAATACAAATGAGAAATGTACTCGCATCACATTTCTTGTATCAAGCTGATAGATCAAATTGGGAATGGGGAAGCCAAATGCAGGTGATGTAGACTGAAGAGCATTAGCTAGACAGATGAGTAAAGTGAGAAAGCAAGTAAGAACTATCCAGTCCATTCCCATGCAGCCCCAGGCAAAAGTGAAACCATTTACTCCAAAAATCACTCCTAAATCTGTTATGTGTGCCTGCTGCAAGCCATCCATTTCTCATACCACAGCAGGTGTTTCTAGGCACCGAACTATAGAGAAAAGGGACTGGAAGATTTGCTTTTCATGAAGACTTTGGAACTTCCTGGCTGTCTTGCAGAGCTGGGAGTGCCATGTTTAAAAGCCCTACTGTTTATTCTAAGGGACACTGCACGCCAGCCCCTATGGAGCACCCAGAGCTGCAGCTTTACTTCTCGCTTGGCCCTTCAGGTTCAGTTTTGTTTCAGAAGTAACATTTGGGTTATTTCTCCTGAACATTGTAAAGTTGTAAATTGGGATTTTATTTTGCAAAAAAGAGGACAGAATGTTTATTCCAGCCTTTCTCATGGACCAGAAGTTCTACTTCTCATAATCTGTACCAACAGAGCCTTTATCCAAAAGGAAGATGTCCTTGAATACCCTCCTTTCTTGACGAGTACAGAGCTTTCCCCATCTGCTATCCGAGCACAGACACAAGCCCTAGCCTTGTGTCAACATGTTCCCAGCCTCCTTTCGTAATATGGAAATGACAGCGGCTCCCGCATGCGAAGCTGAAATCAAATGAATAAATGAATGTCAACAGACTGTGGGTAGAGGCACAGAGGTTGCATAACAGAACGACTACAAGTGCACAGATGCAGTGAAGCCAAATTGGGTGCTGAGTGGATTGTCAAGGCTTGTTTCTGAGGGATGCACCTCGTCATTTCACAGCACAGCTGTCAGCCGATGGATTCACAGTGAATTAAGAAACTAAAAGTAAAGTCCTCTATTCATCCACTACTCATTTAGAAGGACTATTTTGTGACATCTATAGATAAACTAGATGGTGAATTATTACGGAATGGTTCTTTTCCCTGCAGGAGCAGTCTGGAGATACCCTACAAAGTCCTTACTATGTCAGTGTCAAACTCAGTAATTATCTCAAAGAAATCATTATGAGCTGCACATTTGGTATTAATGTCATATAAGGGCATGACTGCATGGATGGGGACTGACAGACTTATGCTCTGTGCCCCAGCTCTGAACTGGCCAGATGCAAATTAATTCTGTTCCAGAAGTGGATAGTCACATTAGCAGAAAGACAGCTTACTTGAGAAGCAAGGCCAAGGTTTTTGCCACTATAGGGTTTTCTGAATGCCACTGTTTGCACCTATTTGGTCTGCCTTCCAGGTGTTTTTCTTGCCTGTGAGTCCTTTAACCTGAACTAGAATGTTTTCTTTTTACCCTCCTTTCTTAGAGAAGGAGATCTGTTCAAACCAATGCTGCTTTAACAAACATGGCAATAGCTTCTTAAATAAACAGCACACCTCTGTACCTCATTCCTCTCAAACAGAAACGCTACTTCAGCTTCTTTGTGCCACCTCCCCTCCAAAACTGCAGCAGCAGGAATGCAATCAATGAGAGTTTTAGGTAATACCACATGCAACAGGCCTGTTTCATTCCGAACAAATGCACAAATAACCTCCAGTTTGAGAAAGAGGAATGCACAAACACTTAGAAGCTAATTCCTAAACCCAGGAAGACAAAGGCAGAGTTAAAAGACTCAAAAACACCTGAGCAAGCAAAACAGTCTCTTATACTTCACTAAAGCAAACACGTAGACGAATCACATTCACTTTTCAACCTGGCAAGCCAGCCCTAATATATTAGCTGCCACCGCAATGATGATCGTTCTTGTGCTCTCCATTTCAGCCTGATACAAACTCAGCAGACTCATAACTCTTTCAAGCTCTCCCAGGTAAACACATGAGAACTTGATAGAGAATGTGTAGCCAACAAGCTGACCCCCACACATTCAGAAGTGAGATTCTGCTCAGGACTGTCACATCTATTGCTGCCAAACACATCTGCCTTTGTACAAAGCACAGCAAATGAGCAACTCTCCTCCGGCCTCTGTGCCAGCCATCTCATTAGTCCTGATGTGAACCCTGCACTGCAGCTGGGTGGGGGTGCATTGAGCTTTGCATCCTCAGCTTCTGGATAGCCATTGCTTGGCCCTCAGCTGGAAGGTCTCTAAAAGCTCAGCTGGGCCCTGGCTGCTCTGCAGGACCCAGATTTGGACAGCTGCAGCAGCTTCACCATCAGTTCTTCAAGTGTGTGCCACCACCAGCAACAACCTCGCCCTACCCTGATTGCCACAGTGAAAGCGCATACTGCAGGTCTGGATTCAGTGAGTTCTCCCTGACACGGTGTGTGTTTCCCTGCTGTACCCAGGGGCTAAGCAAGAGACCCTGCTCAGCACAGTTGGACTGATCGGTTACTAAGCCCAAGAGCCCAATTTAACAACATCCTGCAGATCAGAGATGGTTCAAATATTCCTAGTGAAATATTCTGCCTTTCACAAAGGATAATAGCTCTGCAGCCTGTGAAGCATGACACATGCATCTTGCATCCTTTACACAAAAGTATCGGCTGATGTAGTGCCTTCATTTCAACACTCAGCTCAGCCACAACCAAAGGAGACGCTTGGGCTACTCTCAAGTTTATTGCCATGTCTTCCTCCCCCCATCCTACTGTTGTCAGGATATTCTAGAACAAATCCACCGTTTTGTTCTGGATGATAGGAATAAAAACAAACTAGAGTCTTCACACCAGTTAATTTTAGGTCCTTGAGATTAGAACACAATGAATGTGGAGAATGAAATTATCCAGACAGTGAATACAGCATCCTCCTGACCAACGCGTCTGGGGTGAGGTACTGTGATTATCCTTCCTTCTGGAAACACAATCTCAATGTATTAATCACCATTGAAAGGGCAAAATGGGCAAAATGTGAATAAATACCCACCAAAAAAACAGCAGGTACATTCTCACTAGCCCGAGACCCGAAGTCTGTGTCCTCTCCAAGCTTTTCTTACAATAAGCAAGCATTATAGGGTGCATTTTTGGGGGGGGTTTCTCAGATGCATGTTGGGGAATGGCCTCCTTCCCATTGACTTATTTCATCTTTCTGAATAAGAAAAAAAAAGAAAGAAATCTCTCACCTTGTCAGTCTTGCCCCTGATTTGTTAAAGGTCCATTTTTCAGAGCTAATGGGCTGCTGCAGTGTTGGCATATTAAGATTTACGCTTCCTTGTAAAGATGGGTTCATTCCAGAAACCCAGGAACTTTAGTCTGTCCTTTAAACTCTGATGTAGTATAAAAAAAAAAGCTGTAATCAGGTTCAGGGAGTAACATGCCACACAGCATGGTGACACAGGGCAGTTTTCTGAGGGGATGCTGGTAGTAAGGCAAACCAGTAAGACGAGATGTCAGAAACCAAGGAGGAGTAAATGACAGTACTGCTACCAGCAGCCAGGCTCATGCTGTCTTCCCCCACCCCTTCAGAACCTTCCCCTTCCCACTGAAACTGGGCTGCCTCAGTCACCGGTGGCAACAGCCTTGAGGCTGACCCTTGTTACTACGACATGGTGAATCTTACTGCTGGGAGCCAGAATTCCACAACGAGTTGCTGCTTCTTTAGCACAAAGTGTTTCATCGCCTCTAATGCTAACACACTGGCACAAGGGCACCCAGCTCGGGGTTCAGTTCTTTGCCAGCAACAGTCTTTAACTCAAGCAAAAAGGCCACAGAATGGTGGCAGGCAGCTGTGTGCTGATGTGTACATGATTTGATATGGAGCAGAATATCTGCTCTGTTTTCTCTGCAGTAAGGGTAGATGAAGTATCTGACCGGCAGACTCCTATTTAAACCAGTGCGAATGCACCTGCCCACACATGTTGTTCCCCCATCTTTGCCCATGTCAATGAGAAAGTCTGCCTGCTTCTCCAGCAGAGGACTGTTAAACCCACTCTTGTCCAAAGCAATGACCTCTGCTGCAATCCAGGCCTCCTGCCCTAAAGGGAATACTATTCATACAACAGATCCTTCTGGTCCTTCGTGGCCATGACTTCAAGATCAGTCTCGGCTGGTTCTTTCAGTGTCCACAGGTACCTGGCACATGCTTTCTCCATCCCTTGCCATGTCTTGCTCCACTGCCTCTGCAGCCCACTCTGATTTACACCATGGTCTGCAAGAGGAAGATCAGGCTTGTTGACTGCACCAGAAATCTCATACCAGCCCTGAAAACTGACAGCAGCCAGAGGCGGCTCGGGGCTAATGTCACAGCCACAGCACATGGTGGGTAGAGTCTGACCTACTTTTAACCCTGCTAAATATGCAAAGAAAGAAAACAAGAGTGTGTAGGAAAAGCAGTCTAGGCTTTTCTCTGTTTCCTTAGTACTTCTCTGCTGATTTATCTTTAATATTCGGATTACATTGAAACATTTCCATTGCCAGGTCTTATGGGCGCACCAAGAGAGGAAAAGCACGGTAACATTTGAAGAGTGGGCTATTTGGGGTTTTGAGGTGTTTTGTTTGTCTGGGTTTTGTACAAGCATATAGGAAAGTGGAATTTTCCAAAGGTTAACATTTTGACAAAATATACAAAGATTTGAAAAACTTCTTGCTGTCTTTTGAGCAGAGAATTCTCTTCAGCTGTTTACCTTTCAATTCTGCTTGGC